GGAATTTGTGGCTGTGAAGGCAACGAATTGCCGAATTTATCAACAGAGGAGACGAGCTTTCATTACCGCCTTGTTTGCAGTTGCTGAAGTGATGACGACGCACGTGCCATTGCGTACATTCAGGGGTTTAGCTGAGATTAGCTTTCCCGTTGTTTCGAGGCCACACCGTGCCGAGGCAACGCGGATAACAACCCATGTCAATTGCAGAGTCATTTGTCCCAGGTAATTTGTCCCAGTAGTTGCATTCCCACCGTTGTCAAAAGCTGAGGTGTGGTGAGTTTACATGGGCTTTTTGGGCAGTGGGAAAGGGGCTATAGCAAGAGCTGAGGACTTAGGACCTGTCTCTTTGCTGGTCATGAGTGCATATGTGTTTGTGTCACTATCTTCATGCACTGATGCTTCAGAGGTGTCATGTAGCCAAAGCACCATAAACACTTGTGAGAGCCCTGAAGAGAGAGAGGTTGCATATCCTCACACATACAGACATACACACTTGGAGCCCCTCTGGCTTTTCTACAGAATGTGCTGCATCAAAAGTATGATGTAAAACAGCCTCTTTTCCCTGTTGCCCCCCTTGCTTCTACCTCTCAAACAGTATTAAGACCTCAACTAAGTGGCAAGTAAACATCTCTATACTACTAGTGGAACACAGCCATGTAGTTATAGATGCAGGGATGCCAATGCCTCTGGCGCGCTTCTTCCGTTGATGGTCTGCTGCTTTAATGATATGAGGGGTAATGGTGCCTGATACATAGCAAATGCTACATTAGTTAAGTGTCCTAAAAACACTGACTCAGTACATGCAGATGTGGCTGAGCACCATGGATCTGTGGAGTGCAAGAAAATGATGTGAAATGTGTAAACTTCTTAACTCAGGTTTTCTTCATTTACCTAATGTAGTAATTTCAGTGTCACTTTTATGCAGTTCAGTAATTGGCACCCTATAATTTTGTTCATTTGGTAGCCCTAAAAAGAGCTGCTATCTGTAATTGTGCACTGATTTTACCTTTAATAATGTACTTAAGGGTGAATGTGGTGAAATGGGTCAGCCATCGTCAGTTAGACCCCGACAGAGCTCGCTTACTGTTTAGGAAACAATGTTGCATTGCACCATTAGATTCAGTTCATCTGTTGTCACTTCGCATTGCCTTCCAGTGCCCAGTCTGACAAAACTGTAATCCTAATTTGCACAAATACAGTGAATATATGATAAGTCACCATTGCTCCTCTGCTGCAGTACTTCTCCTTATTTGTTAATACATAGATGTTTTTTGTTCTAAATTGCTGTTAGCTTTTTCAGATAAAGTCTGTGATGTTTTGATGGTGGTGGGGAGGGTCCTGTTTAATTATCTTAGGTTTTCAGTGGAGAATAAAGTGGGTCAAGTCATGCCACCAGTGTCGTTTTGGATTCAAACCAGCCGAACTGTCTGGTGCCCTGCCCATCACCATGCAAAACAAAAAAAAGACACTGATGAGAAAACACACAGATATTTAAGATGTGTGTGGGGCTGGTTGTGGGTATGCTAATAAATATTCAATAATTGAACAGAAATTTTCCATCTTGTTTTAGAATAATTTTTCTTCCCCATCAATCCTCATGAATATGGTGATATGTTTGGAATTACCCTTGTGTATCTGACAGTGCAAGGCATGCTTGACTCAACACAGATTTGTTTTTATTGATGCTCTGATATGATAGATAAGGCATACATACTGATATCACACAAAGCAGATGAACATGTTGCTTGTATACTGCACAACTCATTAAGCTTAGTCTTTGTTAAAATGCCTTCAGGTGTTGCTGTCTGTATTTAGCTGACTGCAGAGGGAGCATGTCTCTGTTCTCAGTTAAATGCTGCATTTTACACAGTGCTGTGAAGTAGATGTTTTATTTCCATTTATCTGTGTTGGAGCTGATCCTCAGCTTGCTTTTCTGAGAGGACACCTGGTTTGCAGACAAACATACTGTATGTGGGCGAAAGTGTGTGCATGGCTGTGCACATGTGTACATGCTCCCACACTGTGGCTCAGTGGTTAACATGATAGTCTAGAGTCTCATTGGATTCCAGGTTCCAGAAACATTAAACCCAGTGACTCAGAGAGAAAGGCTGAAGTCAGGTGTGTGTGTGTTAGTGTACCTACTGTCTGCACGTGTTGGAACACAAAGGTGTGTGTGTTAGCAGTTTGTGTGTGTATGCTGTACTTGTATGGCTATGCTTGCGAGGACCAGTTTTGAGTTTTAGATTATGGGAGTGAAGACATTTTGGCTGGTCTTCACTTTCTGACATGTCTTCATAAGACTGCTAATGTTGGGTGTTAGGTATTTAGTTCGGGTAAGGAGCTAGGGAATTCATTATGTCATTGAGTGTGCTCACAAAGATACTGTTGAAGTATAAGTACATATTTGTATATGTTTTTATACTGTTAGGGAGTAAAGTTGTCCTTCAGATCAAGGTCAATGAACTGTGCCCTATCTGCTTGTGCCATCTATTAGCTGTCCAGTGGTGGGTCTGTGGATGAATGAACAGGAAGCTTTGACCCCGAGTTTAACACAATTACCTGCATTTGGGGAAGCTTACTGTCAAGATGTAATCGCTTTCAGATTGCTGGTTACCTATTTCAAATTGCAATTGGTAAAATAATCCATTAGATGGATGTGTTTAATTAAAAGTCAAGGATCCACCTCTAACATCATCTGGCTTCTCTCCAGTGTTACTCACTTTTAAAGCTTTCTTTTATTAAATTGTATTGAGGGCACAACTTCATATTTGTTGATGCAGAAATTATTTTAATTAGTAATGACAGAAATAAAAAATATCTGTAATTATTGTATTTTGAAATGTTTTTGTAACACATGGTTTACTTTTACCAGTTCAGTGCATTTTCCCCTCCACATCTGACCATCCATACTCTCTGATTTGTCTGCTGCTGAGTCTTCCTGCTGTTTTGATGATGGGTTCCTTTTGGTGGGAGAGGACATTTCTTCTATCACATCTACAGTACCAGTGGATCTAACATCCCATGTCTTCCTCTGAGTACTAGTGTCCTCTCCAATCTCAGTTTTCTTTGTTTCTAAGGACTGGGTTATGCCCGTGTTAACTGAGAAATTGGCTCCGCTAACTGATCAACAAAAATCTAACTTGAGCTCAAGACATTTTTATTCACAAGACACAACTTTGATAAAGTGGAAGCTGCCTGCCTGTTCCTGTATTGGAAGCAAAAAATGTTGAGAGTAAACTATCTCTCTTGTCGTTCAGCATCCCAATGGGAACATAACAAGCTTCTTATCCCCACTTTGCTGTTTATAGCCAGTACATTGGGTAGACCGAGTTTTCTGATTTAGTGAAAAACTCTTTTAACCATAAAAACAAAAGTGTTTAATCTGACTTGCAACGCTTTATCTCCACCTGGGGATGATGCAAAATATGTTTAGAATTTTCATAAGCAGAAAGCCTCCTGCTGTTTGCACAGAAAGTTTTTTTAAATAATCGCTTTATGACTTTGCCCAAGTGTTTGTTTGCACAAACACCTTACGTGACCCCCAAACCACCTGAGCTTCTGCTGAGATGCTGCTGATGCTGTTTATGTGCTCATGTTAATTAAATTACTTAGATCTGAGTGGGGGTGATTAGCATGCTAGCAGTAATAGCTAGCAGCGAATCCAATAGCCTATTATCATAATGAGTCCCTTTGGCGCACTGTGTGGGAAGGTAAAAGAGAGAGAGAGAGAGAGAGAGAGAAAGCAGTTATGGTGGTTGCCCACAGAGGAGAGTTACATCAAAGGACAAGTGTTTTTATTTATTTATTTGTTTGTTTGTAGCAGAAGACATGATTCAAATTGATTTGTCCAACTTGGCTTGAATTAGATAATGTCACTGCTGGGATATGCCAAAGAGGACACACAGAGTTTGCCAGTAAAACGCAAACACACCAACACAAACCCTCAAACAGAATAGATAAAAAGTGGAAATATTATTTATCTTATTTTTTGTGATGATTTCTTATCAGTCAGAAGTTACAGAGAAAAGTGAAATCAACACATGCACAAGCAAATGCACATCCACAGGTGTTCATACGCTTGCATAAACACACAAACCCTCCTGGCGCTGGGGTTCTACACTGCGGCAGGCACTGGCAGCTGTGCCCCCACTGCTCATTATACTCCTGTTTTCACATATTGAACTTGTGCTGCACGTGTGCTCCTGACCTTGTGCTAAATATGGTCGGCCCCATGTTAATCTACTGTGCTTTAGTGTAATAACGGTCCCAGTCATTGTTGAAAGGAAAGAGATTTTCTCGTTGCTGTTGAGATGAGGTTTATTTGTCTTGAATAATTCACAATAAACGATATGCTTTGCAGGGTTAATGGTTTCTTTTCCTTTGCTCTGTATCTCTTCTTACTTTAACAGCCACTACACATCCTCTTTTGTTCCTCCACCTTCTACACTTTGCTCTGTCAGACATCCAAGGAGTGTGAGCTTTAAAAGAGTGCTTCTCAGTGCCATGCTTTGTGACCTTTTGACTTATTTTATTTTACTCTCATCAGGCACCAAAAGCCCGAGAGCAAAGATGTGGACTTGCCCTCTGTTCATTAACTCCAAATTTTATCTCCAACACTGTCTTTCACTCTGTTCCCAGAGAGAGAGAGAGAGAGAGAGACGTATTGCTGCATATATTCCTTCTCCCTGAAGGAGTCGGAATATAGTATATGTCATGTATAATATCGTATATGTCACGATAAGCTAACTATACCTGTCCTCTAGCTTATATTTTCTCTCATGGACTCTCGCATGCTGCTTCTAAAAGGGGTTTAAGTGGATGTATGCTTCATTTGACAGCTGACTTCACTTCCTTACATTAACTCAAAAGCTCTATAATGATACTGTGTGATTTTATATAGCGGATTATGTATTGTCATTGTGATATATAGTACATTATGCAATAATTATTTAATAATGTTGATAAAATAGAAATATCACCTGTCCCTTTTTGTCCTGCAGATGCCAAGGCATGCCCCTCCAAAGATTTCCAGTGCCGTAATGGAAAGTGCATTGCACCAGTTTTTGTGTGTGATGGTGACAATGACTGTGGGGATGCCAGCGATGAGGAGGAGTGCTCAGCTCCCACCTGCGGCCAGCACGAGTTCCGTTGCAATGACTCTGAGTGTATCCCTGCTGTGTGGAGCTGCGATGGCGACCTGGACTGCAAGGACAAGTCAGACGAGTCCATGGAGCACTGCAGCCGCAGGACAGAGCCCCAGAAACCTCACTGTCCCGTGGGCGAGTTCCAGTGTGGCAGCGGGGAGTGTGTGCGCATGAACTGGAAGTGTGATGGAGACACAGACTGCAAGGATAAATCGGATGAAGCAAACTGTCGTAAGTCAACTGAGAATATATTGTATTTATGTGGATAAGTGTGCAAATATGTGGGCAGCTAAAGGGACTTATGGGGCTGCCATTTTAATTATTATTAAGAAACCCTGGAGAGAACAAAATTATCCAACTAATGAGAATTTTCTATGGCCATAGAACTCAAAAATATTAGAACAACCCATAAAAGAGTCATAAAGTATAATGTCACATTCCTTAATTAAAACAAACATTACTGGTGTGTTTTATTCTGAAACAATATGCACAAAGTGACTTAGGGATGCAACTTCACTAGTGTAATAAGCTTAGAAGAATAAATTACATTTGTAGTGTTCATTGTAAGGAAGTACTCGTTAGTATGTTCAGTTCATGGGTAGATGTTTGTTTTTTTTAACTGAATTTCATGACTATTTTTAAAAGGTAATACCACTCACGGCCTTTAATACAGGAGATTAACGGAGCCCACGAATACTGCATGCTGTGTTGAGGAACAATGGTTTTGTGTGTTGCTCACCACTGCTAAAGTACTATACTTCAAAGGTTGACGTGCCATGTGCTGTGAACAAAGATTATATGACAGACCTTGTGCCATCAGATGATTGAAGGAGGATCAATGCTAATTTTATCATGGTGATCCATAGTGTTGCCATGCAACCATGTGATCAGTAGAAGCAGAAGGAGAACCTCACAGTGTGTCTTTGACTGTAAGTGTTTGTTGTTCAGTTGTGTGTGTGTGTGGGTGGGGGGTTGGGGGGGTGAAGGTCCTTCATCAAGCGAGACCCCCATCTGGTCTTCTCTTCACACACCCACACACCACTTAGGGAGATGACAGCCTCACACATTCTACATGGTACAAGGACACAGTGCTGCCACACACACACACACACACACACACCAATTTGCTGTCACAGACATGGAGAACATACCTGTGCTTACACATACACAGATTTTCATAAACAATCAAATGCAGAAGCAGAAACAATCATGCAGTCATAGAGGTTAGTACACTACTAAAGTCACTCCAGTCTGACGTAATCACTCTATAGTGAATGACCATACACACACCGCTGTTACAATCTATATACCATTTACACACATACTGTACAATAATGATCTTATAACCCTCCCATCGTTATATGGTTATGGTTGTTCACATGGATGAAAGTTTAGTCTGAAATTAACTTTACTAGACTCTATGACTGTGGCAAAGATGGGTGGCAGACACATGAAAATTATGCCAATAAAGTAATTTATTATTGTTTTATAACCAGTAATACAAA